CAGCAGGAGCAGCACTCGTGTCCCTCCTGCACTCACCCTGCCCCACGGCCCCACTGCCTCCCACCGGGACGGGCACACAGCTCCCCAGGAGCACACTGCCTTTGCCAGCTGCAGAACAAGCCTTTCCCTCCCAGTTCCTCAGTCCTGCATCCTAATCCATTTTCATCACTTATTCCCCTGGGCATTGTGGCACTGAGGGAAACACAGGCCATTTCTGTGCCACCACCAAACTCAGAACCTCATCAAAGAACAAAATCAGGTCGGTTTGACAGGACCTACTTCTGCTCAACCACGCTGACAGGCATGAATTTATATTCCCAGGCTCTAATTCTCCCATTAATTGAATTTTGCAGTGATTTTTCCACATGTTTGCCCAGGATTAATGTCAGGCTAATTGGATGCAGTTGTCCGAACCATCTCACTCACTCACTCTGCTGTCTCTTCGTATATGTTCTCATCCCACCCGACACGAGGCTCCAGCTCTTCAGGATCAAGAGGGAAGCTCCAAGGGGAGCTGCTTCTGACCCTGGTAGAAACCTCTCTGGTCCAGGCTGCCCAGGAGCCTGCAGCAGCACCCGCCCCAGCTCGCAGCCTCAGCCTGGCACAGCTCAGACCTGGCACACGTCCCTTCCTCCTCACCTTCCTCTGCACAGCGTGAGCAGGGCAGAAGGCAACGCTGCCTGGCTGGACGGGGCAGGGCAGGAGGGGACACCCAGCACCTGCGGCCACCCCGATGGAGCACTCTGAAAATCCCCTGTGACCACGGGGTCGCAGCTGGAGGCATGTCCTGAGCCACACGCTGCACGTGGCTGCCTGCTTGGGGCCACCCCAGAGAGGGACAGCCATGGGGACAGCCGTGTCCCCACAGCCTCGAGGACAGACACGTCCCCCCCGTGGCATAACTGCCCTGCTGCTCTGCACACACACCCTGAGGGCTTGCAGGGCTGCTGCTTTCCTTGTGCTTTTTTTCCCACTTGAAACCTTCTTCTTGAGCATTTAATAGATAATTTGCATCCTGCAGATTAATTTTTAAAAACCGTTTTTAATGAAGGTTCTAGGCTGTGCACATACCTGCATGTGCCACCCGTCCTGGCTCACGCCATATCAACACTTTTACTGGTGGAAAAGCTAATTAAAGGTAATGATGAAAACCTCATTAGTCCTCATTTACATAAGTTACACAGAGAAATTTCCTAACCTTTGATCCTGGCCATCACAGTCCGTGAGACCTCCCTGCACACCAGCTCAAAGGCAGGAGCACATCTCCAGCCCTGCACAAGCCGAGCCCTGAGCTCTGCTCGGCCACAAGGGGAGAGCTGGGCTGGCTGCTTCGGGTGCAGCTGGCAGAGGTCTGGGCTGGCACATGCCATGTGCATGCCAGGGGAGCGTGTCCTGCCACGCAGGCTCAGGCCAGCACGTCCTGCCTGCCCTGAGCCTGCCCTGCCTGCCCTGCACGAGAGAGAGCACATCCCGAAGGCAGGACTGAGCCTGCCCTGGCATCCCCTGTCCCGAGAGGTGTCACCTCTGTCACCCCCACCCGACGAGGCTTTGCCCCTGGCCCCAGCTCAACTGTCCAGCAGCAAGAGCAGCTCTGCTGGGCAGAGAAAAAACCAAGAAATGGCCCTGGGGAACACCAAGTTCCTGGTCCTGCACATTTTCACCATCTCCAGCACCAGCCCCATCATTGCCTCAATAATCTGTGTTGGTGGCTACACGGGGGCTCAGCACAGCGACTGGTGACAGTGACAGCCACACTGCCAAGGTGCCCAAAAGCCACCATGTGCCAGCACAGCTCCCTCACACCCCGCAGACCCACGGTCTCTCATGCTCCGGGTACTGCAGCAGTGCAATTAGAACCTGTCAAGCCCTAAAAATATCGGAGCACTAAATGTATTAGATAAAACTCCCTCTGCTATTACAATATCTCACATCCTGGAAATCTGAGCGGTGAGCAGCACAATTTCACCCAGCGATAGGGCTGGATGAAGTTCTCCCCGCAAAAGCCTCTTACAGCATGAAGAAGCCCATTAGCAGCCGTGGAGATCAATAGGGACGGTCCGCGGCGCTGCAGCGCCCGCTCGGCTCCGCGGGAGCGCCCGGGGCTCCTGCCCAGCCCTGCCGGGAGCAGCGGGGCTGAGCCCGAGCCGGAGCCTGGTGCTGCCAGCGCCGGCAGCTGCCTGGGAGGAACCAGTCGGGAGCCAGGGAAGCCTTCCCAGCCGCCAGCCGAGCTGCCAGGCACATCCCGGCGTGATGGAGCGCTGCCAGACGGCAGAGAGGCTGCGGGGCCCTTCTCGTCCTTCTCCCCGCTGCCTCTGGGGCTGTTCGGCTCTTTTCGCTGCAAACGGGGCTGGGAGCTTTTCCCCTCAGCCCCTGCAAGTGGCCACTCCAGAGCCCTCCGCTCCAGGGGCCGGGCTGGGAGCCCGGGGGCCACGGGCACCGGCCTTGAGACGGAGTTTCCAGTGATCCTCCCAAGGGTAATTCACACCCCGCAACAAACAGATGCAACGCACAAGCGAGAAGGAAAAGTTCCCTGGATTTTGAAAAGCCACTCAGTAAACAGCAAGCAAGGGCAATGCATTATTTAAAGGCTTTTCCAAGGAAAGAAAATAATTTCAGCTTAGTTAGCTTTTTAGGACATCCTAGGAGAGAGCAGGGAGCGCGGCGCTGCGGGGCGATGCGCAGAGCCTGCGGCCAAAGGGCACCGGGACCAGGCACCGGCACCGGGCACCGGCACCGGGACTGGGCACCGGCACCGGGCACCGGGACCAGGCACCGGCGCCGGGCACCGGCACCGGGCACCGGCACCGGGCACCGGGACCAGGCACCGGCACCGGGCACCGGCGCCGAGCACCGGCACCGGGCACCGGCACCGGCACCTGGCACGGGGTCCGGCCAGCCCCGGCGGCTCTGGGCACAGCGCAGGGCTGCCCGGGGCACGGTGCCCAGCTCCCTGCAGGGCGCTGCGAGTGCGCTGCGATGGAGGGCGCGGCACAGCAGCAGCGTGGTGCGGGCACGCTGATGAATTAGGTGTCAGCGGCGTTCATCCAGAGCCATTAGCCATGCTGAACGCCCGCATATCATTTGTTAAACTAATGGATCGCTGGAGGTCATTCGGTAATAAGAAAGGGAGAGGAGGGTTATTAGTTTTTATCAGACATTAATTGGCCAGAATCGATTGCTAGTTTGGTGTCTCAGTGCTGGAGGGGTGTTTCCCCCGCAGCCCCCGGCCGGCGGGCGGCACCGGCATCCCCGCAGTGCCCGGCCCGGCCCGGCCCGGCGGAGCCCCGGCCGCGCTCCCTGCGCCGGACCTCGGGCGGATCTGGGCCGGACCTAGGGCGGATCTCAGCCAGATCTCGGGCCGATATGGGCCAGATCTCGGGGCGCTGCCATGGCGAGCGGCTCCGGCCGAGCGCTGGCACCATCCCGGGCCGGGCACTCCGCAGGGCACCCAGCAGGGCACTGGCAGGGCACCCAGCACCCAGCAGGGCACTGGCAGGGCACTGGCAGGGCACCGAGGAGGGCACTAAGCAGAGCACTCAGCAGGGCACCCAGCAGGGCACTGGCAGGGCACCCAGCAGGGCACTGGCAGGGCACTGGCAGGGCACCCAGCAGGGCAGTGGCAGGGCACTCAGCACCCAGCAGGGCACCCAGCAGGGCACTGGCAGGGCACCCAACAGGGCACTGGCAGGGCACTCGGCACTCAGCAGGGCACTGGCAGAGCACCCAGCAGGGCACCCCGGCCCCGGAGCAGCCGCAGCCCCTCCCGGGCAGTGCCAGCCGCAGCGGACCCGCAGATCCCCACCTTGTCCCGGCGCTCCGAGCTCCCCCGGCTGCGGCTCGGAGAAGCAGAAATGAGCTGGGAACCACTCAGGTGATGTCACATTTATCTAACAAGTTTCCAAATGAAAACTAGCATTTGGACTTACTGCATTCAGGCTCAAAATTTGATTACATTTTTCTACAGCTGTAAATCTGCTTTCCTTTCTGCAACATTATTATTAAAGCCAGTATTGAATTGGTGGTGTGATACGTAAAATTTCAATCCTGGCTTTGACATTCCAGGAAGTTAAAAACCAATTACAGTGTGTGCTTTGCCTCAGGACAGAATGAATCATTGAACACAGCCACTTCACCGAGAGAAATTAAAGGCTGAAGCAGCAACGTGGGGAAGGTATTTCGTTAAAAATCAAAGGTCAATTAAAGAAAAACTGAGTCTATTTTATTTTTACTATTTTGCTTACATTTTCATTCCTTTCTGATGAAGAGGGAGACAAAATAAACCTGCACTTGTATTTATCTGTCAGGTAATAAATCCGAGCTGAAGCTGGTTTCAGGAGCTGAGAGGAAACATTGAGGTGATAAAAACTCCCAATAACCAGCATTAATCTCACGGTAACGAAGCCAGCACAGCAATAGGGCAGCACCTGCCCTCCCCGCAGCACAGCAAGGGGGACCCGGGGGACAATGTCCCAGTCACTGTCACTCTGAGCCCACAGGGCCCCTTTCGGCCCGAGCTTGGCCGTGTCCCCAGGGGAAGGGCAGCACCAACTGCAGAAGGTGTGGAAGAGGGCGCAGGGCAGCGGCCCGGAGCGCAAAGAGCTTCGTGTCCGGAGCGCAAAGAGCTTCGTGTCCGGAGCGCAAAGAGCTTCGTGTCCTAGAGTGCAAAGAGCTTCGTGTCCCAGAGCGCAAAGAGCTTCATGTCCTGGAGAGCAAAGAGCTTTGTGTCCAGAGCGCAAAGAGCTTCGTGTCCCTTCGTGTCCAGAGCGCAAAGAGCTTCATGTCCCGCAGCCAGCGCCTTCCGCAGCCTGGAGCGCAAAGAGCTTCGTGTCCAGAGCGCAAAGAGCTTTGTGTCCTGGAGCGCAAAGAGCTTCGTGTCCCTTTGTGTCCTGGAGCGCAAAGAGCTTCGTGTCCGGAGCGCAAAGAGCTTTGTGTCCTGCAGCGCAAAGAGCTTCGTGTCCCTTCGTGTCCAGAGCGCAAAGAGCTTCATGTCCCGCAGCCAGCGCCTTCCGCAGGGTGGGCAGCAGGGCCCGGGACCGGCCCCACGATCCAAATCACCTCGTAAATCAGCGGAGCACCTGCCCGGCTCTGTCCCTGAGAGCTGCAGAGGGGGTGTCACGGCCCATGAGCCCATCCAGCGCCGGGGGAATCGCCACCAAGCTCCTCCTGGCCAGGCGTGACAGGAGCTGCGAGCCGGGGTTCAGAGAGGACTGTCCCCAGAGCTGTCCCCAGAGCACGGGCGGGGCACTGGGCTCTCTCCAAGCTGCCGCAGGAGGTGCTGACCCCTCCTGTAACACAACAGATCGCTCGTACTCGCCTTGCTCGGCAGCAGCTTGTCAGCGCAGATGCCTTCAACACGAGCTCTAATAGATAATCCACACCTCGAAATGCAGTCTATCATCTGCTCGTTACCCTCAATAAATCATTCGCAAAACATTAAAGTGCTTCAAGACTGTCCCGGGGGCTCCAGAATTGCTTTGCGACGTGCACACTGCGCCTGCTGCCGGAGCAAAGGGACTCAGGGCAGAGTTATTTATCCACAGCCTGGAGCACAGAGCTGGGGGCAGCAGGGGCGAGCCCCCGGCCCCGTTACCACTGCCCAGACAATCCGACCCCAGCCTGGAAGCTCATTAAGGCTGTTGGGAAATGCGCCGGTTCTCCAGGGAGCCGGTTCCACGAGATTGCGAACGGGAGCGTTCTGCGGAGCGAGCCGCAGGGAGACAGCGGGCTAATGCATTCCCAGGCAATTTAGACTCATTTCAATAAAGCCGCAATTAGATGGCAGCAAATGGCGGGGAGAGCAGCTGCTCCACACCGGGACACCCACCACAACACGCCCTGGCGCTGCGCGACAGAGCGGGCACAGCGTGTCTGCGGGCTGGGAGCCACGGCTGGCCGGGCTGGGAGCGAGGGGATGCTCAGGAGCGGGGCTGGGAGTGCCAGCTGCCCCCTCATCCCACAGACCTGCCCCCAAGGAGCCCACTGCCCCAAACCTGCAGGAACAGCCCAGCGGGATGAAGGCCCACAGGTCTGGGAATTCACAGCCAGCCTCAAGCTGCAAAGCCACCGGCATCCATCACCAGGGGAGAGCCCCACGAGGGGCTGGGCAGCTGAGCAAGGAAGGTGGAAGAGCTGGGAGGTTGCCCAGCACCTGAGCCCTTCACTCCCAGAGGTGTCCTGCAGCCCCAGCCCAGGCTGCAGCCCACCAGCTCCTGCCACACAGCAGCAGGACCAAGCTCCAGGCAGGAGGGGACACACTATGGACCCAGGTGCTGTGGGGTCAGGGGACCCCAGCCAGAACCTCAACCACCATGGGAAGGGGCACAGGAGACCAGAAAGGAGACCCCCTCATCTTCAAAAGCCCCTCAGGCCTCTCCTGCCCACAAGCTAGCCCAGCCCAAGGGGCTCCTCATGGTCCCTTTCCCCCAACAGCCCCTGTTCCCCTGGCCTGGGGACCCACTGTAGAATGGTAAATCCACCTTGGAATCAGCCAGAGGCCGATGTCGCCATTTCTCATTAAAAGCTGGGTTTTTGCTCTACGATGGACTAGTTTTATGTTCCCATAAATTGCCAACAGTTAGCCAGATCCCCACAGAGCCAGGATCGATACCTGGCCGAGGGGAAAAAGTGCTGAGGAAGGAAAAACAGTACTCCAATTAGAGCAAAATTTAAGAGTCCAGGGGTAGGGGTGACAGTGCCTAATGTGTTACAATTTATTGACAGCCTCCCAGAGCGTGGGTTTTGTTCTGGCTCTCAGAGGCAGGCAGGTGTCCCACCAGGCAGCAGCAGGGAGTCACACATCCACTCTATGCACCCAGTCCTGACTGGCACAGCCAGTGCCCAGTCCTGTGTGGTTTGGCATCTCCAGCCAAACACAGGGTGTTCTTGGCTCCTCTGGTTCATCCATCAGCAGGGCAGCTCTGCTGGTGTCCCCTGAGCTGGCAGCAGCCACCCTAGAGCCCACGGGACAGGTGACAGCCGACCAGGCTCTGGGGACACAGGACCAAGGACACAGCTGGCACGTCCCCACCAGTGCCCCTCAGGGACACAGCCCGTCCCCAGGGTGTCAGAAACCCGTGCCCAGCTCTGCAGCAGTCTAATCCCAGTTAAACACAGCATAATCCCAGCCTGAGAGTGGCATCTGGGAGCCCCAAGGCCGGGCTCCCCTCCCGACCCCACTCTAAGCATTGCTGAGTCCTGCCCTGCCCTCCCCGTGCCCCAGGCGCTGCCCACGGACCCTCAGGAAGTGGGAGGCAGCAGAACTGACCACTCCAAGATCAGAGTTCTCAAGGGTTCTCCATGGACCTCGCACCCCCCTCCCAGGTAGGCTGGGGGATGGCAGTGGGCTCTCTGCTAAACCCTGTGGCCAGAAAAACCCAGCTGGATTGGAGAAATGTTGGCAAATATAATAAACACAAGTACATTAACTCTAATTCTGCGAAGCCTTTGGCTATATTAATCTCTCTTTAATGTAATCACCTATAAATAAGTGATGACCCCATGATTTAATATGACATCTGCCATCCCCATTTCTACACGAGCTGTGAAGCAGAGCCTCTGGTGCAGGCAGGGGTGGGATTCGTGTGTGGGACTGGCCAGGGCAGCAGCCAGCTCCTCAGCCCAGGGCTCAGCTCCAGCTCAGCACGCCCAGCAGGATGGATGGGAACATGGAAACACAGACCAAGGCTCCACGGCAGGGGCCGTGTGTCCCCCAGGGCCCCGGGACCGTGTGGGCAAGGGTGATGCAGCTTAGCTGTTGATAAACACCAACATCAGCATTTCTGTAACCACCACCAGGCAAGGGGAGACCAGGACAGCCCCTCTGGGGGTTTGGGGAACCAGGGGGATTCACTGACAGCTCCCCTTTGGTGAGCACATGGGGGTGATAATGCTGCTCACCTGGCAACAGTCCCCGCCTGCAAAAATGTGCATGGAGCAGGAGAGAAAAAGAACCCTTGAGAGTCAAAAATTGTGTTAAAAGGCGAGTTTGTGAAGCCCAGGCCAGCCCCTGATGCACTGATCCGAGGGCTCACTGGAGCAGGAGGATCTGAGTCCACACAGAGAGGGCTGCAGGCACAGGGGGCACGTCCTCTTCCATCCCCCTGCCCAGAGGAGACCCTGGGTGGGCAAAGCCTCCTGTGCCCCCTTTGCCCCGAGACTGGCAGCTGGAGCAGCTCTCCCTGCCCAGGCTGGCTCATGCAAACACTCCACCAAGGACAGAGGGTTTCCATTCAGCACCCAGCAGAGGCAGCCTGTCCTCCTCCTGCCTTGCTCCATCCTCATCCTCGCCGGGCTGGGGCAGGTGGCAGCAGGAGCCGCCCATCCACGCTCTCCTCTGCGTCTGGAGCCAGCACTGCACACCCTGCTAAAGGAAAAACAGGCTGTAATTAGGACAGAGCTGGAGGAGCTTCAAGCCCCCAGTGTCCGGTGGTGGCAGAAGCCCCTGAGGCCACCCCTGCCCTCCAGACCTTTGGCCCTGTTGAGGGCAGGGGCGGCCCGAGGGTCTCCTGGACGTGTGGGGATCTGGCTGGGGCTCTCCTGGCCCCAAATGCCACAGCACCTGGGTGTGTGTGTCCCTCCTGTCTGGAGCTTGGCCTCACTGTGGGCAGGGCTGGGGGCTGCAGGGGACTGCTCTGGCGCTGAGAAGCCCCTTCCCCAGGGGGGCAGACCCCGAGGTGAGGCACGGAGGGGTGGCAGGAACACCCCCAGCTCTGCCTGAGCAGGGGTCAGCCACAGGAACCCAAGCACGCTGCCCTGGGCTCGGGGACAAACCCAGCGGCACGCGGCTCTGCGCAGGTGCCGAGCACACCTGGGCTGCAGCACACCTGGGCTGCAGTCTGTGGAGAGAGAACACCAGGGCAGCCCGGCACAGCCCTGCCCTGCCCTGCCCAGCACCAAAGGAGCCCCGGGGCACGCGGCGAAGCTCCCAAACCTGCAGCCTGGAAAAACGCTCACTCAGGCAGGATGCCTGTAATAAATTTATTGTATTTTATTACATATTCCCCTTTTTGCACTTAATTCCAATTCCTCATATTCAAACTCTTCTTTCTGAAAGAAAATGATTTTTAACATAAAAATATAAATTCTGCATATTAAAAGTGCATACACCTCGAATAATAAAACATACAAATAAATAATAAAAGGCATTGACACAGTCTCATGCAGTTGTCCTCAAATAATTTAAAATTTATGGTACAATGTTCAACCCCAAGTAGACAGCCTGCTTTCCAATTACTGTACAGGTCAAAAACATTAAAATACAGAGGAGAATATCAAAGATGTGGGAAAGCCCCACGTCCCTGTACCAGGTACAGTGATGTGACATGCAGTTTGAGAACTGTAGATATTCCAGTGTAAAACCTGACATTGTGTCCAGAAGAGAAATTGCATTTGCAACAGGACTTAAAATTCAATTTTAACCAATGGTGAGGCACAGGTGGTGAGCAAATCTGTACAAATTCATACTTGGAAGGCCACAGGACAACAGCAGAGCCACTGGTGGCCTGGATTCCCTTGTGTTACCCTACCCAAGGCAGTGTAGCACCTCCAGAGGGGTTATTGCACTCTCAAATGGCACACGAGCCGGAGGCCAGCACGCGTGCACTGCAGGGCTGGGTGAGCCAGGACTGGTGGTTACGCTTAGTTTTAATCTGTGTCTTTTAAAAAACACTATTTGCAGATAAATTGAGTGCTATCACCTTTTTAAAAAATAGAGTCCCTAAGCCTTTAGATCTAACACAGACATTGTACAAGTCTTCAGGTGCTTTTCTTTTACAAAATAAAGCTGTTAACAGTAACTGCTTTACAGTGCTTTTGTTGAGAAAACCATGTAGGACTTTCATCTCACCACAGATTAAAACTAAATTTCAGTTCCCTCCACAGGTATCATTAGATACTGCCAAATTCTTTTGGATTAGTAGGCAAATGACAAAGATTTTAAAAAAAAACCAAACCAAACTAAAATTAAAAAAAAAAAAAAAAAAAAAAAAAAAAACCCAAACCAAAAAAAAAAAAAAAAAAAAAAAAAAAAAAAGCCACAAAACAACACCCAAGAGTGAAATTATCTGGAATGTTGTTTCCACACACTCTCCATGCCAGCTGACCAAGGGGAGGGCACCAAGCTGCAGGGCAGAGCCAGGAGGAGTCCTGGGGCCAGCAGCACACAGGGCTGCCCAGAGGACACGGCCCAAACGCCAGGAGCACAGCACAGCCAGCAGCCCAGGCCCAGGCAGGCAGGCAAAGCCCAGGAGCAGCGTGGGCAGCAGGGAACGCTCCCCCCTCGAGGACACCCCGGCAGCTCTGCGTGCCTGTCACAGCCCCTCGCTCTGCACGCACAGCGGGCTGCACACAGGACCCTGAGCAGGCGCCCTGCTAACAAAGGGAAAAGCAACACAAAACAGAACTCAGTTTGTTCTCATTTCCCTGCTCCAATCCCTCTAACCTTACGTTACGCTCCAGCCTTGTCAGTAACGCGGAATCCTGCAAAGGAAAGAGCCAAAGATGTGCAAAGGAAGCAGGGCCCAGGGACATGCTCCTGTGTCCAGCAGCAGCTGCACCAGCTCCAGAGCCACGCTGGGCTGAGGCTTGCATAGTTAGGAGGGACATGCAGGGGACAGCACGGCCATGCAAGCTGCCTGGCACCGAGGAAAGTGGTTGGGCATGCTCAAGTTCAGCTTCAGGAAGCAAAACCCCTGCAGCGACGGCGCATGAGGGCACTTGCAGTGGGAGAAGTGCAATTAAGCTGCTAGCTTTCTATCCTAAGCATCTTGTTTTTATTAATTCATATTTGATAAGTGTGAAAGGGTTAACAATTTACACACCCAAAGTGAGACACAAGTTACAGAGAACTGCAGGCACCAAATTGTCTATCAAATGTGATTAATACAAATAAAAGGTGCCTCTTCAATACACGTCATCGAAAATGTGCTTATAACTTGAATACTACTAAACACTGTCCAAAAGACACAGCCCGAAAAGGGTAAAAAAAAAAAGTCTCTAGGTGACTCCTGCAGGAATTGAGCACTGGAATGAAGGCGCTGCTCTCCTGCGCCCAGGGGGCCAATTCCAGGAGCAGGAGCAAGTGGCAGACTAGGGACGTGGGGTGAAATGCAAGTCACACGCTGGCACAGGCAACTCCAACCCAAAGCCAAGTGGAAACACACTGCCTGAACACCTGCTTTGCCTTGGAGCTCACCTGTCTGGGATCAGGGACACTGCTGGGCCTCCCCCTTCCCAGGCAGTTCCCATCACCATGAGGCATACCTTTGCTTCCAAAACCTCGGCAGAAGGTCCCAGACCCCGCCCTCCCCAGACAGGCAGGGCAGGACAGAGCTGGCAGCAGCTGCTCCCACCACACTCAGATGCCCATGAGACTTCCAGGCCCTACGTGCCACCAGCCAGGGGAGGCAGAGGTCCCTGGGCAGCAGCAGCCTCTGGGAGATGGCAGAGCCCACCTCCCCCAGAGCCATGAGTGCTTCTGATGGCCAGCAGGAACTTTAAGACATGACCATGTAAATGCAGCTGCTCCAGAAGAGCCTCAAGCCATTGCTGCTTGAAGGATCCATATGCAAAGCCACGGTGGTGTTGGCATCTAGGACTTGGCAGATCCCTCTCTCGAGTGTTCCCTGGTACCATGCCACATCCTGGCAGCTGGACAACACAATACCACGGACAGGAGTTCCTACACGTGAAAGGGACAAGAGAGAAGTCTGCTTTAAAGCAAGGAGAGAAGACTGATGATTTTCCCCCAAATCCCTTTAAGTAGGGCCTGTAATAACCTACATTCCATTTCAGAAACATCTATCCTACTTCACTGCCAGAGTCACGACTGTAACAGCAACAAGGCTTTGATAACACTCCCAGCGAACGGTGTTTCCCAGACCCACACCCTGCAACCCTCTCCTGGGCAAGGAAGCTCGTTTATGCTGAAGCTGTGTGCCACTGACAAGCAGGGGTGTGCAGTGACAGGAGTGCTGCTCCCAGGGCCTGCTACAGACATGAGCAGGGTGTCTGTGTGTCCCCACAGGCTCACACACACGCTTCCACGCTCGGCCCAGCGTGGCTCACGTCCCACAGGAACTCCGGTGTGCCCTGGTGAGTCAAACCACTTTGCCTGAGGACACCCCAAGCCAAGCCCTGGTGAGCAGAAAGCCAGCAGGGAGGAGCAGCAGCCCACTGCTCAGAGACGAGGGGCCTGTCAGGGCAGCCCCTGCTGCCCACTCACACTCCTCTGCAGGCACGGAGCCCGGGCACAGAGCTGCCGCTCCAGAGGGACAGAAATCCAGCCTGGCTGCATGGAGAGAGCAGACAGCGCTGGAGCTGGCAGCAACAGCATCAGGAATTATGGAGAACGTGCAGAAAGAGAGTGAGATTAGCATCTCATGGGATTGCAGAGGTTCAATTACTATTATCAGCTGCTGGAATACCAGGACCTCCATCTCCCTCCTACCCAAATGAGAGCTCCAAGGACCACTGTCTTGCTACAGATACAAACACTGAACTGGCGTTCAGCTAAAACGTGGGTTTGGACATGGCTTCAAATTCCCTTCAGTCACGCATGCAGCACAGGAGCAAAACCACCTCAAAACCCACACACCAGCTTCCAGTTTAAACTCCTTCAGGGAACGGTGACATGAAAAAAAAAGTCATTTGATAAAAATAACCTTTCACAAACGTCCATGGCAAAATGCACAGAAAGTAGTTCTGTCTATTAGAAGATCCCAAACCGAGTCAGCGTAAGCCACTGGAATTACATTCTTGCTAGAAGAGTTGTTACAAGAGAAGAGCCAAGACAGTGTAAGACCTTAATACAGATAAAACCTTAAACAAATACTTCAACATCAACATTTCAGGGAGTAATTTAAGTACTGCAATGTGAAGCAAGTCTTATCTGCTCTGCTGGATATAACAGAAAATAATCCAAGAATAATCCAAGTCGTACATTTTAGAAGCAAGCAATGCAATCTTTGCTTCTTGTTGCTGCAATAAATGAGACTGACACAATGCCTGGGCGAAGGAATGCATTGAGGGGTCGGTCATGTCGGGGGGGAACAGTCAGGGCACTACACCTGCAGGCTGTGGCACTGCTGGAGCATGTGAAGGGGATGCAGCAGGACGTCACCAGGACACTGCAAGGGTTGCAGGCAGGTGGGCATGCACCTGCACGGCAGGTGGGCTCATCCCCACACACTGACCCAGCTCAATGCGCTCCCAGCTGAGCCCCACACACACCAGGAGCCAGCTACCCCCAACCCTTCCCTCCCAAGCTTGCTGCAGGTGTGTGGCGAGCAGAAAACTGAGCAGCAAGGCGTCCTGGGGACAAGGCTGCCTGCAGGGCAAGCAGGACCTCAGCAAGGGAGGTGGCAGAGGCCAGTTTGTTATGCTGATGGGACAGGCCACACATGTCCCTGGCCCCAAGCTCTGCCACTGGACTGGACAGGCACAGACCTCGCTCAGCTGAGAGCGTGCCCAGCACATTGCCCAGCTTGTCACAACCTACACAGGCTGTGGACATAGAGGATATGCAGCACATCAATAAAAACTCATGGAATTAAAAAAAAATAATTACACCACATACATGTAAAAGGACTTAAGAAATCCACCTTAAGAGGAACCTTACAGAACTTGAGGAATCTCCCCTGTAAGAAGGGCATGTAAACAAAGACATCAGTAGATGTAGTGTTTTGACCCTGATGGAGGCTGTCATCCAAACAAGAAGGGGAACCTTCCACTGAGGGACATGTGGCAGCCAGACCCACGGGGAGGGGATGAGCATGCCAGAGGGAAGAATGTACAGCACTCTGGGGAACAGGAAAACTGCCCCTCCAACCCACACAAAGGGGCCTGTCAAAGCATGCTCAGGGAGGGCAGGATGACACTTGATCTAAACAACACCCCTAGAGATAACGGAGGCTTAATTACACCACTAGGATAAGGGTCTGAGCACACTAGGAAATGCTTCCCAGGAGTTTGAACAGGGGCATCCTGACAGCATCATGGCCATCCAGGTGTGTGGATGTAACTCTCCCATGGCACTGCCTCCACAGGACGAGCTGGCCAGCAGCTGCTGCCCAGGGATTTCTTCTGTTGTTTAGTAGAGCATTTCAGAAGAAAGTAGTGAAACAGGACAGGCTAGAGGTTGCCTTAGGTATGGACAAAGCAAAACTCTTCACAGACACAGCAACAAAAACTGCAGGTTACATTTCAAACTTCCTGCTGCTGGAATGCAAAAACGGAATCTATTACACAGACGGGCACAGAGACACACAGGTACCTTTCTGTCCGTCACTAATGCTAGTCCCTCCTATACTGGCTGAGTATATACCTGAGAAACAACATTAGTGTTGAAATATTGCCCTTTAGAAAGCTTGGAAATGGAGGGGAGCAGGGACAGGGAGTTGAGAGCAGAAAGAAGCGACAGTCTCTCCAGTTTCCTTCGCATCCTCCACAGCTCAGAACAAGGCCATACACCAGTGTGGACACAGCCCACTCAGAACAGGACCAAAGGAATATCAGTTCACAGCTCTACAAAGCACACCAGTGTCAGTACAACGGGGGGTCAGGTCCCAACCCTCAAATCTGAAGAAAGTTGTTGCACTTTCGACAGAGACTCCTGTACAAGTGCTATGGGACAGCTGCATTCATGTTCAACAACGACTCCAGCTAGGCTACTTGCACCAGTGCTGGCTGCCTGTGGCTATTTGGTTTGATGGCAGAATCAAAGGCGCTTTAACAACTTGCAGTTAACTTCTCCTCAAAACATACATTAGGCACATGAACAAAAAACAAGAGCTCAGAATAAATTAGCTTCTCAGCAGAAGAAAAGACACCTGGATTGCAGCATTTCACTGAGGTTCCAGAGAAGGCCGTACAGACACCTGCATGCTGGAAGGTATTTTTTTCAGCGGCTTGTCAGCAGACTGCTTGCCACTGGAAGGAGGAGACTGGACTCCGGGATCTAGCTGGGAAGACTTGGACTTGCGACTGGATAGCAGAGAATGTTTGTTAGATGTGGCATCTTTTGAGACAAGTTTTTCTTTTGTAGCAATGTTGGCATTGGTTTGAGAGGCTGGTGGGACACCACCTTTCTCCGGTTTGTCCTCCAGCACATTTTTACTGCCCGACTTGGAACTGACACTCCCTGCCTTTTTTGAAAGCATTGTTGTCTTCCCCAGGTCTGCCGACCTCCGTGTCTCCTTCTGCCTTAAGGCTGATTTAAAGAAAGACAAACCCTTCTCTTCCGACTTGCTGTCCCTCTTCAGGCCAGAACGCGCCGCGACGTTCGGGGAGCGCAGGTTGGCCATGGAGGAGCTGCGCACGTGCTTGCTGTCCACCGCCCTGCTGTCACTCCTGGAGTGGCTGATCCGTGGGGAGCTGGTCCTGGAGCTGCTGGTAACGCTCGCTTTATCCGACCCCAGACTGACCTTGGAGCCCTCCCTGCTGAGGCTGCGCTCGGCAGTCCGGCTCTTCCCGGAGGAAGAGCCCTTAGTCAATGAGCCTGACGGGGTTTTCTTGGCAGCCGTGGAGGATGGAGAACCTGACTTCTGCTTCTGTGGAGCTGAAGGGACAGATGCCTCCAGGGGCTTTGTGCTGTGGTCCTTCCTAGCCTGCGTGGGAGCAGGAGACCCGTGTCGCCCGCTGACCCTAGAGGAGTCTGTCTTACTTCTAGACCGGGAAGCTTTCTGAGAACTCTTCAGTGGAGGAGAAGAGTGAGAGACTTTGGTCTCTTGGGTAGCTAAGACTGTCCTTCCCTTCCTCAAACTTTTGTCTGGCTCAGAAGCTCCTTTGGAGCTGTGACCCTTCTTAGGGGTGTCATGTGCCTTCTCTGCAGGCAGCCCCGTCCCAGCTGGGGCTTTCACCTCCTTCACTGGGGAGCTGTCCACAGAGTCACTCTGGTCAACAAAGGCAATTTGATTGTTGTTATCAAAGGGGTCCAGAGCAGGGTGATTCCTGTCTGGCTGCACAGAGCTTTTACCATACCCATCTGAAAGGTCTGAGCTAGATGTCCTTACAACGGACTCTTCCCTGAACGCCCCTTCCATGACAGCCAAAGGGGCTCTGCGAGCTGTCCTGTGCTCCCGCCGGCTGCTGTCACAGGGCTCCAAGTAGCTGCTAGAGAGATTCCTCAGGCTGCCAAAGCACGAGGTGGAAACTTTATCGTCAGCAGCTTCCCCAATCTTCTCCAGAGTGGAAGCAGAGGTATGTACTGGGGAGTCTCCAGAGAAGCGCGACGGGGAGTTGGAGCGGAACTGCAGCTTTGCAGAGAGTGACCACGAGGGCCTGACACCATTTTCACTCACTGCCAGAGGGCTGGTGACAGAGGATCTGGATGACAAGCTCTGACGCTGGACACTCCTTACAAATGGTCGAGTTGAAAATCCTCCTGCAGAGAAAGCAAGTGACAGTCTCAGTGGGAAAGCCAAGGCTGCAGCTGGCTCACCCCACCCATCCACATTCCCCCACGAGAGCCAAGCAGCCCACCCACACCACACTATGTGTCTCTCCACGCAGGCTGCAGGCACAGCTTCTTGCACGAAAGCTGAATGAGGAATCCAAGAACTGTTACTTGCTAGAGGTCACCCAGGAGCAGCTTTCTGAAGCCTCTAACTGATAACCCAGATTCTTCTCACATCCCTGAGCTGCAGATCAAACACAAGGTTTGCACCTCAAAAGTCCCTGAAACTGGCAAGATCACCAGCTAGGATTATGATTCTGTATTAAAGAATATTTCCCAGGGCATTCTGTGAAAGGCAAAGGAGGATTCCTACCTCTAGGTCAAGTGATGTAATTGTATTTAGAAACACAAAATGTAAGTATTTTAGAAGTGTGACTTCCATGGCCAGACGTGACAGCTGTCACAGCACTGCTGCAGGGACAGCCCCACACCAGCTTCCAAATGCTCTGACTGACCCATGAAGCTCTGCATTTTCAGAAGTTACAAGACAATGTGTGGAGGAACCAGGCAAAGCCAGGAACTGAACAGTAACTTGCATAGATAAGTAAATTTTCATCTCCCTCCCTCCGTGGGACCATCCATAAGCACAGCAGCAGGTAATCAGTGCCTGTGCTAAATCTGTCAGGACTGTGTCAGCCACCCTGCGAAGGTGATGCAGCGAGACCCAGAGAGAACACCAGCACGAGAAGTTCCTGACTGAGAGGTTTTGTTGATGGCATTTGCTTTCTTTGAAAGGCTCCTTCAGGTTCCTGCCGGCTCTCCTCCAACCTTTCACATGAGACAGAAGCCCACCTGTGCTCCCTCTGAGCCAGCTCTTGCCTCTCTCAGCTCCTGGACTAACTGTCCCTTGCAACCACAGACGCTGCAGCTGTTTTAGTGAGCACCTCGCAACAGAAAGACAAGCGGAGATACACACCGTCATCTTCGCTGCGTTCCCCGGTCAGCTCCACGGACTCGGAGAGCGAGGCGAGCGAGGTGCGGCGCGAGGAGGCGGCCGAGGCGACGCTGGGCTGCTTGCTGCCCGGGAGCCGGCTGACCCAGTGCTCGCACAGCGACGAGCTGGTGGAGCCTGCGGGGAGCGCGTGTCAGCAGCGGCACAGCCCCCCGGGGCTGCTGCCCTGCCCGGGACTGCTCACACCCAGCCCGGGGCTGCTGCCCTGCCCGGGACTGCTGCCCTGCCCTGCTCACAGCCCTGCCAGGGCTGCTGCCCTGCCCTGCCCTGCTCACACCCAGCCCGGGCTGCTGCCCTGCCCTGCCTTGCTCACACCCAGCCCGGGGCTGCTGCCCTGCCCGGGGCTGCTGCCCTGCCCTGCTCACACCCAGCCCGGGACTGCTGCCCTGCCCTGCCCGGGGCTGCTGCCCTGCCCTGCCCTGCTCTGCTGCCCTGCTCACACCCAGCCCGGGGCTGCTGCCCTGCCCTGCCCTGCTCACACCCAGCCCGGAGCTGCCCTGCCCTGCCCACAGCCCAGCCCGGAGCTGCCCTCGCCGCCCCAGCACCCAGACACTGCCACGGGAGTGGGGCTTGGCTCTTATGGGGCATTTATGGCCAGAACTGCACTTGTCCCAGTGCGCTGTGAATAGCAGCATGCAGGCACTGGCGGCATTTCATCTGCCACCCGAAGGCCACAAAAATCCTTTTTTTCCAGGGGCAGGTCAGCAAGCCTGCACCTGCCCACAGCTCAGCCTGGATTCCACCAACACATGCACTGTGGGCACCTCCTGGGGACTGAGAGTGCTGCCACAGGGAAGGAGCGAGCCACATCTTGATGTCCTGCACAAGGGCAGCTCTGAGCAGTCACCTGTGGGGCACAGGGCTCCCCCATCTCCCTGCCAAAACTGCCTTAGCAGAAGAGCTGAAAGTTCCCATGGCCTCTGACACACAGCCACAGTCTCAGAGATCCTCGCTGAGATCTGGGACACAAGAATAGGGGTTTAAGCAGAGCTGCGTGGAAAATTCTCCAGAAGGACGAACTACCCAAGAAAGACAAGTCAGAGCCACCCCTGGACAGGGCCAGCAGGGCTTACCTGCCACCGAGCTGTTGGCAGACCACGAGGGGATCGCTGTGCGTCGCTGGTAGAACAAGATATAAGCGGTCTGCTTGCAGACTTCACTTTCAGAAAGTTGCTGAACTTCACTGTCATCGAAGCAGTACCACTGGCCATCAACAGAATTCTTGCAATATGCTAAGAAATAACACATTACTGTAAGACTCTCACTCCTACTGCTCTCAGGTTTGTTGTATGACATTTAACATAACCTTATCTGCTCTGATGGACTCTGACAATGGGAGGAACAAATGGATTCTTGCATCATCTTCCAGTCTGACTGGCAAGATGGAAGCCTGAGGCTGCCAGAACACAATGAACAGCTTACATTTCAGGACTTGTCAGGAACAAATGGATTCTTGCATCATCTTCCAGTCTGACTGGCAAGATGGAAGCCTGAGGCTGCCAGAACACAATGAACAGCTTACATTTCAGGACTTCCTTTGTCCACCATTACCACTCAGAACAGAACATCATTTGGGGTGGCTCCATTCACTTCACCCTCTGTAACCTGTGACACTGCTTCCATCAGTGACTCCCTTTCTGACTCCACACAGAAATATAACCAGCATCTTTGTGAAAGGCTCCAGCACAGACAGCACAGCAGGACACTTGCCTGTATAATGCCCGCCTTGCATGGTGCCGTGGTGGTTGCAGACAGCATACAGGTCATAGATGTAGTCCTCAGGATCTCTGCCGAGGCCATAAGGTTTCCTCCAAGGTGACCAGTGTGATGGCAAGCTCCAGCTGCTCTGGCTGCGTTTCACAACGTGAGGAGTCATGTCCAAGCCACTCAAGGGAAATTTAACCATGTTCTGAAGTTTCATCCTTCGGTCTCCTTCCTGTGTACAGGGAAGAGCATGAGCTGCAGAGGCCAAGGCCTGGGAAAACCCAGGTGAGGAACACACAGGGCAGAACGGCTGCTTCTAAAGAAGGGATCTACTCACATCACTCAGCAGTCCTCCAGCAACACTACAGGCATCCTTACCTGCCTAAACCTTTTGAGATGTATGATGAGAACGTCAGGTAAGGTCCAGAGGCTCAGTGTGATGCTGCCCTGCTGCAGCTGCTTGCAGTGTGGGCATCGCCATGCATCATCTGGGGCAAGCTACAAGGAACAGGCAGGAGTGGGTATTGGTGTTCAAAGTCCAAGGCAGCCTGCACCACACCACTGTTCCCTGCTGCCCCAAGCCCAGTGCAGACACTGACCCCTCTGCCTCATCTCCCTCCAGCATTTATCAAGCTCACTGGAAATGCAGGGCTCCCAATGATGCTTTTCAAAGTGACAAGCAGAGATCTGTGTGCCTCATTCAGGAGGCACTTTATGCTGCAAGGCAGAATTCAGCCAGTGCTGCTGTGCAGAGGAACTTTTTGCACCTTATAAATGCCAGAGCCTTGGAAGTGGAGAAGAAGGAAAAGGAAAAACCAAGGCAAAAACCAGGCAGACTTGGCAGCCTGAAAAATATTCTCACAAGAAAATCAGCAGTAGAAAAAAAAGCAGGGATAAAAAAGCAGAAAAAAAATCAGAGCAGAAAGAAGAAAGGTGTACTTTGGATGCCCCTTTAACACCTCACTGCTCTCTGGGAACCCTCTTCTTCCTCTGCAGCCCCAACACACTGAAGACTCTCCCTGTCCCCCAAGCCTCCCTCCACAGCCCAGTGCTCAGAGAACTCAGAAGCCACAGAGATTTAAGCTCAAACAACTCTTCCTCCACCTCAGAAAGAACCAACAAGAGAGGCTCCCAAATTATTACAGCTCAGTCCTGGGTCCAAAGACCACCTCCAGACGAGCCCTTCGAGCAGCAGATCAGAGAGGAATTCAGATGGCTTCCATGCTTCCACGTGCCAGGCAAGGGCCAGGCCAGAGCCCTCTCCAGCCTGCCTGGGGCACACCATCACTCCTGTCTCTTCAGCCTCACAGAGCAGGGGAGCAGCCCATTCCTGCAGAACTGAACCCATGAAGCACATTGTCCTAACCCTTTATAACATCCACAATATTTCACAGAAGGAAATTGCCAAAGAGAGGACTAAGTTCTTGTATCAACGTTTGGGCAGCAAAGAACCCAGCAGCAGGACCTCCCACAACCTTCTCACTGCAGAGGAGCTCCCTTAGCAGCACAGATAACTAATCTTGTGTTACAAATCTATTCTCCTGTCACAAGGAATCAATGTTTGCAGAACAGAGCTGCCTGGATGAGGGAGCTCCTGTGGCATGTACACAAGGCAGAGTACACAGTCTGTATCTACCTGTTCCTCTTTGGTGTACAGTTGGAAACACTGAGATAAAGTGCAGATCTGAGGTTGATGATGAAGCTCTCTCTGCTGGCGGACGCTTTCAGAGTCTGGAATATATTCCTCTTCTGTATTCACAAACAAGCTGCATCAGGGAGACACCACATTTACCAGCACATCCCCTTGCTCCCCAGGCTGTCCCTGCAGACAGGGGCTGGGCACAGGTGCAGTTTGAGTGGTCTCATGTTTGCTGAAGGATGCACAGTTCACACAAGCAAGCTGCAAGCAGCAATTGTGAGTGAACACACTTTAAGGGTTTTTACTTCATACTTACTAATCTTTAGTTTCTTTGTCCCATTCTACCACTAATTTCACATGAGCAGTTCCCCCCTGTCCGCATGACTTCAATGCCCTGCAGGAAGGAGCAGAAGTAAGTCAGACCATCTTTCAATCCAAAGTCTACATTCTCTTCTACATCCATGTAATTTCTCTCCACAAGCCTTTCACCCTTCCTTCAAACTCCCACAGCTGAGGTTTGCAAAGGAGTAAAAGGAATTCACACAGCAAAACACTTGGCAAAGCTGGTAAATGCCTTCACCCAAGTATGCAAGTTCTGTAAGGCAACATACACCTGTTACAGAACAGGCATTTACCAACATTTCAAAGAATAACAGGCACAAGAAAAAAACCAAAAATAGTGAGAGTAATATTTTCATTCTGCTCTCCATTTCCAGGGAGGACAGATTCCAGATGGCACGACACACAACCAAGGTATTCTCACACAGCTTCCTAAGGATCTCCCTCATTTCCCTGCTCCTCAGGCCCCTGCAGTGCATTCCACACATCCACACCAGGACTGCTCATTTCTGCACTGTTAACACACCTCTCTCCACTCCTGGGAAGCACCCAGCAGCCGAGGCCAGCTCACCTTTCCACTGTTGGGTGGCAGAGGGGTCGCTCCTCCTGAGGTAGCAAGTATGTTATGCCCACAACACTGACCACTCGCAGGCTGAAGGGGCAAACCTGCAGCAGAGAGAACAGAGACCACCTCAGTGGCTCCAACCCAACCTGCCCACATGCCACTGGCTGACAAAGACTTCACCCTAGAACACGTTTGACATGACAAAGCAAATGTACAAGGTCTCAAATATGCCTGTGCCAGTGAGCTGACAGAGGGCTGAGGCACAGCAGTGGAACCTGTGCATCCAACAGCTCACGTTTGTCTCACCTGCAAGCAGGCTGCAGGCCGCAGGAAATACTGCATCTTCTCCAGTATTTCCTTCTGCAGAATATCCCAAGCAATTGTTTTTTCCAAGTGCAACACAAAGGGCAAGCCAAACCTATGGGAAGGAGAAGCATTTGAGGAACAAGTAAAATATTATCCTGTTCAGCAATCGGAACCCCAAACTACATGGGAGAACTTCATGTGAAGTTTTGTGAAACTTCAGAGGCTGAGGCACTTCTCAGGCTCCAGTTGACACAAATGCCTTTGCCATGGTTGTTTCTCACTTCTCTCTCTCCCCCCATTTTCACTCCAATTAAAATTTCCCACCCATAACAGGGTCTGGTCAAACATGCTCCTCTCAAACCAGACAAAGGTGGTGCATCCTCTCAACTGGGCTGCATTTATTTCTTTACAGTAATGCAATACTTGAAGTTCACCAAAATTAGAAATATTTTGCTGCACCCATTAATGCTTTTTGATCAACATGTTCTTTAGCACCTGAAGTGAGCTAGGGATGCAAGCTGCTGCTCCTTCACCTGGAGCCTCTACTACAGGAAAGTAAAATCCAGGTCAGTTTAGGAAGCAGCCAGAAGAGTAACTCCAGCCATGCTGCTGCCAGTCACCTTTTGCTCTGCTGTCCAGTGCACGCTCTGTTACACACCAGCAAGACAATCTTGTCATTTGCTGCTAGTTTGGGACAGGACTGTTCCAGTTTTCCAGACTTCACCGTTCCTTGAGAGTAAGCTATTGTTCGGGAGTGCTCAGTGCCACATTTCAAGTTATTCAGGTTATTGTTCACATGTATTCCTGAAAAATTAGGAGAAAGGAAACATTTCATGATGTCATTTGTCTTTAGTGCCTGATGGCCCCTCAAGAAGCCCTTCTTGGGCTGGAGAGGAGCAGGTCAGTATGGAATCAGGAGCATTTTCATCACTTGGACAAAGGCTTCAAAGAGCAGCTTCCTTTCACAGTGACTGTTTCTTTAGAGAAGGACATCATATGCAAGTGCTCCCCATCTGATTTTTCACAGCAGGTTGTACAAGCACTCCCAGCTTTTACTGCCCACAAGAAACATTAACATGCCAAGAACCCAACTTGCTACTTTCAATAACAAAATTTGCATTTGATTACACTCCATCTGCCCAGGATACCATGATTACCTTTCACTGAGGGGACATGCAGAGGCCGAGGAGTTTGAGCTTGGAAAGAGAAAGTGTTTGTTCATTCCTGAGACTGTTTATTCATCACTAGCAATCTGATTTTAAATAACGCAATTTCAGTGGCTTCATCTGGTCCCTAGCAGGCCTTTAAATTAAGCCTGACAAGAGATTTCACATTAAGCCAGCCTGGCCTGCAGCATCAGCCCTGAGAAGAGGCAGAAAGGAGTGCACAACACTGCTTGATAACCTCCCAGCTGACAACACTATTAAATCTTCCGGAATGAGCCTGGACAAAGTCAGAGCTGAAATCAATACACCAGAACATCAACAGCTCGTGGGACTCACTCTTTTCCCACACAAACCTCCCTCAGTAGTCACCCGAGGTGGGCATTGAGAGTTATTGACTCACCTCTCTGACTGAGGATGCCCTCAGGCCTGAAGATCTCTGGGGTCTCAAAGGCAAAGATGCAGTCGCTCTCGTGGATGGTGTCCAAGTCGTCGGTGTCGCAGAAGGAGCGATGGAACCCATCGTAGTACATCTCTGTCAGCACGATCTGCAGGCACCAGAAGCAAACCAGAACCCATCAAACCTCCCACAGTCTCAGCTCAGTGCCCCATCCCTCAGCTGGGATTTTCCTGCTAAGGGATGGCATTCAAGACACACTGTCATCAGCCAGGAGCAAGGAACAGGGAAAAGGACAGCCATAAACAAGAAGCTGAGGTAAAAACAACATATGGAGAGGTTTTGGTGGAATTCAACAGCTTTCCTGAAGCTCTTCCTACAGAGGAAATCAGCGTAGGTGCCCAGTGGTTGCCTCACTGCCAGCATGCACACCATGGGGCCAGGCAGGTCTGCACACTGCACTGAGGGCTATTCCAACATCACCAGGATTCAAAGAGCCAGTGCACAGGGAAAAGCAGGATCCAGATTCCCACCACTGCCTTGCCTCCTTTGCTATATATCCAACAAGGGACAAAAGCCTCCCCTCTCCCTCCCAGTGCAGGGAGGGCACACAGGTGAGCAGCCCAGCCCCTTACCTGCTCCGTGGGTATCTTGGTTTCCGAGGAGACAGCCTCCCTCAGCCTGGCCACTGTTCCGGAGATGGGCACGGCCACCCCGATGCGCATGCAGTGCGAGCACTTGCCCTGGTACACCACGGTGACATAGAGGGGCCTGTGGAGAGCATGGAGCGCTGCTAGGCTGGGCTGAGCACCTCTGGGCACTGCCCGAGCAGCCTCAGCCCAACTGGGCACATCCAGCTGCCCACCATGTACAGGGCCCTCCTCACTGTCCACATCCACCTCACACTGGAGCCACGCTCAGCTGCAGCCCGACATGGGTGTCTGATTTACAGACTCCTTTCCTACTATATGGCCTGGTGTTACTTGCTGCCACAAGCAGAACATCTCAAAAGAGGCCCACAAAGCTAAAACCAAAACTGTCTATGAGAAGGCAAACAGTTTTCCAGCAGGGATCCAGAAAGGAAGCTTGGACAGTCAGTATAAGACAGCACCTTGAAGTACTTGGAGAGCTGCTGCTGGGAACAGGCTGCCTCTCAGCCCTCAATCCTGCCTCCAACAGCAGCCAGCAGCACTGCTGGGGAGAGAAGAGCAAGGGGACACCTTCCCTGGACAGCCCACTCAGCCTCCACCCAGCAGTGAAGCAGGGATTTCCAGAGCAAATGTGACAGCGATGTTTAATCTGCCCTGTCATCACCCTGTTCCACTGCCCTGGAACCTACACAAGTTTTCTGGATGCAAACACCAGGTGAAGGAGTTTGTTATACCACAGGTAGTTTTGCTGTGCATCTCTATCTTCACTTTGAATGTTTCATCTGAATTTTTTTCCTCTCCTGAAGTTTTTTCTTTACTTGCATCAGCTGTCTTTCAAAAAAGCAAAACATTTTGCAGGAAAGATTTTAACTTCAATTTTTTAAATTGGAGTGATCAGTGAGGCTGCTCTCAAAAAACAAAGTGCTTCAGCCTTTTCCCTTTTTTAATTTTAAAATGCTATAAAATCAAAATATAAAATATTTTGGTTATATGAAGAAAAGACTTTTTCTCCCAAAATTAATTCTATAGGAAGGATAGGCCTTTCAAGCGTAAGTCTCCATTTTCCATTTTACCTGCGAAGCAAAACAGTCCTATCTATCTTTTCTAGTGACTTATCGGAAATGCTGGTGGTATTGTCTTGCTGCTGTAGCACATTCAGGAACACGACACGCAGGAAGGAGCCGAGGGCTCAGGACAGCTCCGTACCGAGTGTGCGGCAGAGGGATCGGCAGCGAGATGCACAGGAAAGGGTCAAAGGTGTTGCTCTGCTTCTGGCAATGAGGGCACGTCAGGGAGGACCTGGGACAAACATGGACAACAGGGCACAGTTACACTCACTGCACTGGGAATGGATAAACCACCAAATCCCACATTCATCGACGGCAGATCCAACGGGAAAGCCTGGAAGGGTTTTGTCTTTGGAGAGAGGTGAAGTTACAGGACAGGGACACAGACAGCACGGGGGGCACACAGCCCTTACACAGGAAAAGCTCCAGACAAGAGTCCACTCTCATTCTCCAGAATTCCATTCTCATTCAGAACCAATCTGCACCTTACAATGGCTTTGTGTCTTAGACCAGGTTTGAGGTTTCGCCTTTGCAAAGGAAGAGTTGGTAAATACTGGGGAGGAAGCCCAGCAATTTAATTCTCACAGCAGTACAGGCACAAGCCATCAAGGAACACTGGTGATTCAGCTGTTCTCTTCCAACAGCTCTGAAATTAGAAAGCTCTCTTCCCAGGAAGAAGGGAAACTCAAGGGAAAGCCCTGAAGGGACAGTGATAACTTCAGCTCAGAATTCCCAAGTGCCAGATGACAAGCACTCTGCACACACTGGGGATCCCTAACTCCCAGCCCCCTCTAGATCCTGCCATGGGCTCTTCCCTCTCAGTCAGGGTGAGCCCCACAGCACGAGGCTTTCCTGAGCCTTTGCTCATGAAGCACTGACTCACTCTCAGGATGCACAGGAACAGGTGTAGTGGTACATACTGCAGATTTAGACAGAATATACCAATTTTGAAGCAGTGAAATTCTCTCTTTCCTCTAGAGCAAGGTCTTAGTTCAGCAGGAATTCAGAAACAGTTGTTAACACAGTGACACCAGTCCCAACTGCACTGGGAGCCAGTGTCAGTTTAGAATTGTACTGGGGTCACCCACACATTCAACAAATTTACAAAATACCATACCTGTACTGGGCTTGAAAGAGTTCCTGCACAAACGTGCTACTGATGGGAAAGGCTGGGCCCTCCAGCAGCACATCATCCTCCAGCGGCGGCTAAAAGAGAGAACAAACCCTTGAGACACACCCAGGTGCGGGGGGTGCACCAAGCAAGTGGCTCCAGAACCCCAGTCAACTGTTGCCTTCCTTAGCCAAAAATCACTGGGAAAATGTCACAAGCATTTTTAACTACCAAGCACACTCTGCTCCAAGGGTGGGCATGCAGGAAGGTGAGGTGGGCAGGGCAGCCCTGGGAAGGGCACGGGGCTCACACCTGACGAGGTCAGGCAGCCCCAGGTAACACCCCTGGCTATCGCAGAGCCACTCAAACACGACTCAGGGATTCCTCAGGGAGCACTCACCAGGGATTAGTGGAACAGCTGGTTACGTTCCCAGGGCAGAAACAAACATTATTTTAACCCAGGTTTTTGTTCCATCTGAACTATGAAGTTCAGAAGCCAATGGGGAGAGCTACTCTCCTTTAAAAGGAAAGCCTGTGTGCAAAGCTGGACTCGCACAGCGTCCCGCAGCAGAATCCCTTACCTTGAGTGGAGGCATGCCACCGGAGTTCACCACGTTGTTCAAATCCTCGTGGACTCTGTCGAGCAGCCAGAGCAGGAACTCCTGGGCGTCGTGCTGGGCGTTCCCGCGGTACTGCATCGCGTTCTTGGACACGATGTTCTGCACAGGAGAGACAGTGCAGCAACAGCCAGAGCAGAGCCCAGGCCACCCCAGCACACCTACCCCTGCCTCACAGCACCTGACACTGCTGCCCTCACCAAATCTTCTGCTTGTTCAAGCTGAAGCAAAACAACAATTTAGTCTCCTAATGCCCACACACTCTGTCTTGCTCATTGTGGCTCTGGTGAGGTCACACATTTCCCAAAACCTTGATGCAGATGTTCAATGCTAATCTAGGTCTACAGTTCCAGGACTCAGCCAAGATCAGGACATCTAAATCACAGATGCTTCTACAGTCTGATCATCATCATGCAGGTAGAGCAAAATTACTTCCCATCAGCACCCTGTCAAGCACAGGAGTAGTACAGGCCACTGTGGAATTTTTTCCACTGGGTATCAAGACTCCACTATGCATAACTCGCTCAACCTAAACACTGTCTTCTACTGCCATCCCAGCCAGGGAGGTGCAGCTTTCCCTGGACACCAGGAACCATGGCATCCCAGAGCAACCAGAGCTGGAGCAGCACCCATCCCATGCTGTGCTGCACCTACATGCTCGGCACACCTGCAGAGAGAAGAACTGTTCAACAGGACTCTGACTTACTGAGCAGGGTCCCCAAGAGGGACAGTGGCACGAGCAGAGGCCAGACAGCACCTGCAGGGCAGGAATGGGTGGGAAGGCTGCAGAGCCTGCGCCCAGCAGGCTGCACAAGTGCCTCGTGCCTGAGCTCCTCCACTCCTCTAATCAGAGTTTGCAACAGATTTGAGAAATGAGGTTGGGTTGCTCGCTTTATCCCTCTGAAAATGGGGTCACCAGGGAGGGGGGTGGTGATGAAAGAGGCAGGCAAGGACTGATAAACATATACTCTCTATGCTCTATAATCTGTCCACTGTCTCAAGGCTGCAAAATAATGGGAAACAGAAATAATCTGCTCTCATTACATACGTGCAGGACTTCTGACAGTAGATTTACTGCCCTTGCTGTGCAGGGACCAGCACTCTCCCACATAAAATATGTGCACACAGCTTGAACCATGGGAGTGGTACCTAGCCAACACTCTGTGCCACACCGGTGTGACCCCAGCACCTCTGCTTGGTGTCCAATGTAACCCTCAGCTTGGGATGCTGCTGCAAATGGGGCAGAGAAATTTGAAGCAGTTTGTGGGAACTTGAAGATTAATGAAGACCAAACAGCATTCTCTGCTCCTAGCTCCTGTTAAGCAATGCAAAATCCAGTGGCAGAAAAAAAAGGATAAAATATAATCCATAAAATGGATCTAAAAAACTCTCTTCAGGTACCAGCCTGATGCCTCTTGCCCTCCTTCAGCAGAAAGGCAAGCTGAATGCACCCAGACAGTGATGCAGGGAAGAACGTATGGCACACATGTGGAGACTTGCTTTGCAAACATTAACTTGGTTCAAAAAAACCTACACCGAAAATTAAATTTAGCCCTTAAATTACTGTGTCAAGTTTCAAACTGAAAGTCAGTCACTAACACGTGAGGCTGAGATTGTAGTCCAGTCTAGTGGTCACCTCACTACATCTCTCCAGAAGCATCACATGCTCCCGCAGTGACACACCTGGGCTGTAACAGCTGTGCCCATCCTTCCCAGCCCAGCACCAAGGGATCATGTCCCTTATCCCACCGAGGGAGGGGACTCCAGCAGCACTGCAGGTCACAGCAAAGCCAGGCTCATTCTTCTCAGCGAGCTGACCACCGAGAGCCAAGGGCAGGAAGTGCTGACACCAGCCGTGTCCCCAGCCGTGTCCCCGCTGTGCCAAGACATGAACAGGTGTGACAGGAGCAGGCCCTGATGCTCCCCCAGCAGCCAGAGCCAGCAGCCTCATCTGGTGTCCTTTGCCCCAGCCAGCTCAGCCAACACACGCTGTCACTGCCCTTCAAGGGCCCGTCCAGACACAGCTGATGATTAAAGGCTCCTGGCATTGCTGGGAGAAAGCAAATCCAGCATTTCAATGGAAAAGACACATGGAGGGGTTCTGTACAGAAACATAAGGACTTTGGGAATCCAGGCTAGTATTTGTTATTGCCTCTTCCCCAGAGGCAGAGCACATCACTCCAGCCCAGAGCCTCCCTGGCTTCTGCTGCTGTGTGTCCCTGGTGCTGCAGTGTCCCCAGAGAGCAGCCAGTCTGTGCCAACCCCAAGCACAGCGAACCCAGGGATGCACAGCAGTCACGTGCCTGCTCTGTATCTGTGTCACTGCTCAGCTCAGAAGCATCTCCACGATAATTGCTCTGGTTTTCTCAACTCTCTTGCAGCCTGAGTGGACTAAGGACAAAGAGCTGCTGTGGAGACACATCACAAGATGCTGGAAGTGATTCAGGAAGCACTACAAAATATCAGATGCAACTTCCTCACAAGAGGCTCTGCTAAACAAACACTCCAGCACCAGCAGCACGTTCCCAGTGCCACTCACACCTCCTGCCAGCACTGCTACTAGTGGGTCCCTTACTGCTGAAACCCCTGCAGCTGCTGCTCCAGGGATGCCGTGTGCCCTCCTCCCAGCCCCTGCCAGGGGCTGTGGCAGCAACCCCAGACACACAGGGTGTGGGGGGGACAGTGGACACACAGTCAAACAGTCAGTGCTGAGGGACATGATTAAATCTGAGAGAGACAGAGGTGCTGACTCAAACAGACAATTTAACAACTGAGACAAACAGCAGGAACTCCTGTAGAGCAGACCCCAGCCTGAGGGGTCAGCAGCAAACAGAGCCCCCACACCTCCCTGCTCCCCTCCCTGCTCCCTGTGCCCACAGCCCTCAGCTACAGACAGGGCTGTACAGCCCTGGGGGTCCCCACAACCCTGTGCTATGGATGGGGTCTGCAGCCTCTCAGCAGCCAGACTGGCCATTCCTGAACAGCTCCTGAACATCTGACAGGCAAAGCAGACAAACGAGCAAGAACTCATCACTGAGCACTGGCCACCCAGCACCTCTCCATACTGACTTTCCAAGTCTGCCCTTCCAGCCCAGCAGAAGGTTTCTTGCCCTTGCCACAACCCTAAACCTTCACCCCTCTTTTGCTCATCACTTAAGACAATAGCTAATTTTGCTGGTCCTGCAGTAACACAACAGCAACTGTAACTGGATTCAGATAGAGAGTTAGGAAGAAAATGCTTTAAAAACACATGAAAACCACCACATTTACCAACCCCCAGGAGCCATTAATCCTCTGCCCCTAATCTGGGTCGCCTGTAAGCAGAGTTGGCACATCTGACCAGCTTCCATCCAGCACCGCAGGCTGTTAAGGATGACTCCAGAACAATTCTGGGGCAGCTGGTTCAGCTATGAGGCACCAGGAGTGGGCATGGACTCTGACACTGCCTCCCAACACCTTCCACGATGCCCAGCACCTCCAGCCCTTTCCTCAGCCCAGCCCTTGTGAGCCTGGCAGAGGTGGGTGGATCCTCCATTCCACCAGATGTGCAGGCAGTGGTACACAGACACCCTGAATGAAGTGGCTCCATCCAAAGAGATAAGGGAGGAAATCACAATTTCCTGTCCCACTTATGTACCCCTAATGCAAGCACCCTACAACCATATCAGCCCCTGCCTGTCCGTGAAGCAGATCTACAGCAAAGACACATTATCATTTTTACCAGGCCACTGAAAGTTTAATAATAATTCATCTACTGCTCTAAATAGATGCAATAAATAGATCAAAACAGAGCTGAACTACTGGCCTCTTCTTTGCTGCTATTATTGTTCCAGTTCACAAAGACAACTAGAGGAAAAATGCCAGTCTGCTACTTTCCAGTGTGGCCCTGCTAGGAAGCAGCTGTGGAAGGATTCTGCACATGAACAGATAAAGACAGCTCAGTAGAGACCTGACCCAATGACACACATGTGCAGGAGAGAAAGGCTATTCTTTATCTTCTGTTGAAGAGTTAGTTATGCTCAAGCATGTTATTTCTCTTTTTCAAGCCCACAAGCACAGTTTTGTGTTTGAGTAAGTTCTACAGCAGACACTGCTTACCTGAACTGCCCTCTGGGCTCACACACAGACAGCTCTTTCCCCTCTCTGGAGATGTTCTTTTCTGGGGAGACCAGTATCCAGCCAGCAGCGTGGCTCAGGCCCTGGGGCTCAGGCAGGGACCCCTCCAGTCAGGGGCAGAAGAGATCACTGTGGCCTTGGCCTTAGCACAGGCTTCAAACAGGGAAAAGGGAGCTTTGATGACAGGAGGTCTGTCACAGCAGCCAGGGCAGGACTAAACACTCCTCCTTGCCCTGTGGGCATCCAGAGGCACCAGCACCCCATGGGACACGGGGGGAGCTTTGATGACAGGAGGTCTGTCACAGCAGCCAGGGCAGGACTAAACACTCCTCCTTGCCCAGTGGGCACCAGCACCCCATGGGACACGGCAGCTCCATGGGCAGTGTGTCCCCACGGTCCTGCCCTGGGCAGTGCAGGGGCAATGAGCACAGCCCTCAGGAGAACACTTCAGGAAGCAAAGCCATGAGGAGCACTGCAGGGAGCAGCACAGCAGCACCAGAGGGATTCTCCACCGCGTTTAACAAGCCCAGACAAGAGCAGCAGCCCCTGCCTGGCACCTCTCATGCCAGCAGCTACTCTCACCCTTCCAGGCTGAAGCCTGTTAATCCTCGTTAAGCACCTTCCTTCAATGCATAAGGAGAGAGTGAAGTCTGTGCAGATGGTGCTACCCAGGGCTGCCCAGTGAGCACGGACACAGGGGTGGGCTGTGGGTGCTGCACTCCCCAGCTGGCACACTCCTCTCCAGGCCCTTCCCAGCAGTGCAGCTCTTGCTGCCAGAGGCACCACCAGGAGTCAGTGCTGCCTGCTGGAAGAATTCACCCTTACGAGGAGCAGAAACCCCAAATTGTTCAGCAAGAACTTGTTTTCCTGCTACACTAGTAGAGCAACTGTTGGTATTCAAAGGAATGAGGGACTGAGGAGCAGAAGAATGCCACAGACGTGAAGCAGCCCAGTAGAGGACTATCAGTAAATGCTGGCACAGAGGG